TATCACCATACACAGAATCACAGTATCACGCAGCTCGCACAGCCACATTAGAAACAAAAAACAAACAAGCAAAAAAAGAACATTATAACAACTATCACAATATACATCTATGAAATTAGTTTCAATCACGATGTAATACATTAATAGATACGAAATTAGACACAACTACATTATAGAGTGTGACTGAAGATGTTCCATGGCGCAGGGTCATTGATAAGTTTTAACTTCCGTTCCTTCAAACGATGGAAACATGCCAACTTTTTCAGCTTGTGACTTATGCAGGCGTTTACGCCATTTTCGATTAAAGGTTTTTAAATCGTCTTGGTTATCGAAAGCATCTGAAGTCAACTCAGCTGTTGTACCGTCTATAAAGCGTGTACGATAGTATGTATAGCCTCCCTTATCCGTGCTCCATATAATGTCTTTAAATTCAGAACGATCAAGAGGGGCATTAGAGTCATGTCTTCTTGCGAGTATAATCTCTGTAGTCGGAATACGACTTGTGCCTATATTAAGCGCACTAGAACCATCGGGGTTATTAACCTCGTACGTTCCACTTTTAGTGTCTGCTACAGAGATTATGTATGGACCTATCCATTTAGATGTTAATACAGTAGCATCGGAATTACGTTGACGGATGTTAACTCTGTCACCAACCTGATACTCTGCTATCTTCTTGGTAATTTTCCAACGCCTTTGCCTTTTTAATAAGGTTATATTGCGGATTTCTCGCAAGCAAGGATATACAACGTTATAAATACGTTGGACCTTCTCTATCCATGGTAACTCATGGTGATTGGGTTCGTCCTTGTTAAAAGGGATTTGTAACTCACTATATCTGTCACGAAAATAGTGAGCGGGTGTAGTTCCTGTAACCGGATCAGCGCACTCGTTCATCTGTGTTTGTACCCACTTAAGGTGGTACGGCCAATCATCTGCATCATCCGTTAATGCAGTACGCAAGAAGAACTTAAGTCTTCTATGGCGCGTTTCATTCGCGCCTTGCGTTTGCGGCTTATATGGCACACCTCTCTTATGGTATATGCCTGATACGAGTACTAGCGATTCCATAACGTCATCGCAGAACTCACTACCGTTATCAGTGCACATAATACCCGGCCACCCGTGGTCAACAAAGACTTGGCAACATAATTCTGCCACGGTCTGCGTATTCTTATCCTTTAATGGATATAGCAAGTTACACCGTGACGCCACATCAAAGAAGTGGCATACGTAACGGTCGCCTGTGTGCTCGGACGTGGGCAGGTCAACCAGATCAATGATGACCCTGCGCCATGGAACATCTTCAGTCACACTCTTAAGCGGTGCGAAACCATAGCGCTTGCTCTGATTGAGATCACAGTCTGTGCATGACTGATATACTCTGTCAACTAAAGTTGCCAGCTTAGGGTGCGTGATCCCGTGTCGCCTAGCATCTTTAAGTGCTTGTACTACGTTTTGGTGCTTCAGCTTATGATGTTGCTTCAGCCAAGCAAGAATGTTTTTATCATTCTGCTCTTCCAGAATAAAGGTAGGGTGTTGAGAATCCACTTGCGTGGTCTCTAAGTCTGTAGTGTTTTCAGACTCATGTCCTGTTTTTTTCATGAGCATCATAATCGCGCTCATGTGCGTTAGATATACCTGACTTATTAAATAGTCGCATTATATGTGTATACGCTTCAGGATTGTCTTTCATTAATCCCTTTAAAAATAAGGTTTGAAAGACCTCGGGCTTGGACTTTATGTTATTAAACAGAGTCCTAGCTAGAGACTGACGCTTCTTAACAGTGTCATTAGTAGATTGTATTTCTTGTGCACAGACGTTAAATGCTGTGTTGCCTTTGAACTGCTTATCGTTCAATTAAGTAGAGAGTGGAATCTCTGATTCTTTGACCTTGTTAAGGAAGGTCTCAGAAGGAGTCCATTTGGTTGTTCCAATGGGACCTATACGACATATAATAGTATGTCTCCAGGGCGTCTTCTGGACGGCTCGGATACCCTGATATAAGAAAGTATCTACTTCCCGACTGGTAGTCCCGTCACTCCAACTTAATGTTGGGCTTTCGGTCACAAGACTTAGTGTGATAACCATTGGTCTTCTCACACTTGTCACACTTAGTACGCAAGTGTGTACAGGTGGATGCATGTCTACCATTCCAATGACCGTTAGGGGTTAACTGGTACATGTCATACCCACACTGGGCGTCGGCACATTTCTTAATCTCCTTAAATAGAGGTTCCATGTCCTTTGCTCCTGCGCGTGCCCGTTTATTTATTCGCGAGCACGTATATGTTGGGGTCTCTCGTTTGAGGTCTGCCTGGATACGTACCCGTGATCGGTGAGCTCCCGCGGCTTCTTAACAGCCGCTTTTCCCTTCTATGTTACTCGATGTGCGGGAAAAAGAGTGAATACAGTATCATAAAACTGTTCCCATGTAAGTCGGAATAGATAAAACTTTGTTTCATGTCCCTTGTCTCTAGCCTCAGTCGCGTGTTTACGTCGCAACTCGGTGTACAGACTCACACGGTCGTTATTCCCTATGTTCTTACAGAACACATGCATAATCAGGAATTCGTACCATCGCTGTGCCTTGTCCTTTGTTATATCGGGACGTTTCAGGTCAGCGTCTAACTTCAGAATATAACTCTGAATGGGCGTGTTCATTGAACATAGCCCAGGGCTACGCATATCCTTACTTAACAAGGATGTGACCAACCAACACACAGCTGGCCAGTCATGACAAGTGTCTAGCTCATGCTGGTGTCGCTGCAGGATCAGATAACTGGTCCCTGTAGGGTCAAATGTCTGCATTAAGGCAGAGATCCATTGCTGGGGAGCGATATCATTCGTCTCCAGCATGACCGTAAACGCATTAAGCGTACAAGTTAGCATGTCGAGGTCATGGTTGTTTATAAACTCGACCTGCTTGCTGTTGGCATCCCAGTTCGACTTAAGTCGACTGGTCTGTCCCTATGGTCTTGTCCACCTTGGGCCTGAAGTAGTTGGTCTATACGCTTTTGCTTAATCGCAATAATATTCGCATAGTATGCTACGTCATTAGCATGATGCGCAGCATGGGCGACTTCCATTTTATTGGTATAGTCGTCGACCGATTTATTAAGGTCGGTCACCTCGTCAGAGTGGAAATCCTCTGCGGGTTGGTGTAAAGCCGTGCGGTCGAAGCGATTAAACTCGACATGGTTCACACGTCTGCGGGGATGATTAATATCCCTTGGCGTCGGAATAACATACCCAGTCTTAGCTGGTTTCCGACGATTGTCCTCCCAATTGGGTACAAGTGGCGGAGTATATTTCCCTACCTCTCGGTCTACAATACCTTTGAGGACAGGTGACTCACGACCAGGTGTCAGAACAGGCGAATGATTAGCATGTTCTTCTGGCAGTAATGTCTCGTATGGTATATCGACGCTGTGCATCTCTGGATCATATGACTCAGGTGTCGAGCTTGAGTCTTTGGGCGTAATTGCCTGTCGACGTTTTGTCAACTTCTGTAGGGCTTCAGTAATGCCCGGGGAAACATGTTCGCGTAAGCGCTGTGTATGTTTTCCCGATCTTTCTAATTGATCTACATGCTCGACAGTCAAGTCTTTCATAATAGTAGCTAACTGATTCTTAAAATCAGCGTATTTAGTAATTAACTTACTTATGTGCTTCGGCTTAGAAGTCTCGGATGTAGATTCGGTTTTGCTACTTGAGCTTGCCTCCTCTTCTGGTTCCATAATAGGTTCCTTCTGAGATTTGTCCTTGTCCCCTATAATTGGGGACTTTCCTTTCTGATTTTCGTCAGAAGAATGGGTTGGGGCGTCTTGCGACGTATCCCTTGTCTCACTTCTTGGCTTTGTTAATGCAAGCTTTGAAGTTATATATATATATATATAAGTATATATGTATATATATACTTGTATATATATATACATATATATATATATATATATATATATGTATATATGTATATGTATATATATATATATAATATAATATATGTATATGCATATTTATTTATATATATATATATATATATATATATATATATATATATATGTTTGTGTGTGTGTGGGTGGGTGTATGGGTGAGTGTGTATGTATGGGGGTGTGTGTGTGTATGTGCAAATCTATATACATATATATATTTATATATATATAATATTACTATTCATATAGTTATATAGATATATAAATATATAAACACAAACACAAACATATATATATATAATTATATATATATATATATGTAAATATATATATATATATTTATATATATATGTGTGTGTGTGTGTGTGCATTATATTATATNTATATATATATTCATATAGATATAGATATAGATATAGATATAGATATATATATTATTTGTGTCGATGGATGTATGTATATAAATATATATTGGATATACGCTGTCATAGCACGGCAAAGTGTACAGACCACGTAAAACGTTGAAAAACAGCTCAATACATAGACAGCGAGAGATGTGATGTCTACCTCAAGTCAATATAGTGGATGTGCCGGAGACGCTTTACTTGCTCGCTACTCGAAATACTATATTAATCAACTATTAGTTGAGAACAGCGGTGCCACCATGTGGTAGTTGAAGACCAGACCTGCAAATAAAAATGTAATATTTAGTGGCATATTAGAAAGCAGTTTTTATACTCAGAAATTTGTTTATCTTAATTCAGTATTCCTTATATGCATCCAAAGTGTATTGTTTTTCCAGAGCACATTGCGTTGCTGAAAGCACATTGATATGGCGATATTCAATTTGCACGATGCCATGGATTATTAACACCAATATATGTAACCATAAATCTAGACATGCCCTTTATCGGGCAGCAGCGTAACTTTTCGCATATTTGAAAATATCTTGAGCCTATCTTTGATCTTAGGACTTCACATTCTGAGTTTGAATGCTACTGTAGCAACAAGAACACTGACGAATAGTTTTATAACAACATATATCAGTTTGAAGAAGAAAAAAGTAAGGCGGAATCCACGAATCGAACGTGGGGCCTGACCCACCCTAAGGGTCAATCATACCACTAGACCAATTCCGTTTACTTTGATTTTGAATAAAAACATAAATTCTATTTTCAATATTTTAATACTGTTTTTGACAAAAGCGCTATTGAGTTACATACTTATATTGCTGTTGTAAGTTGTGATTTGTGCCTGGATGAAGGCTACAAATCATATAATTCCTATCTCAACCTTGAAATGTAGCAGCTTCATATTTTCAGAAAGAAGCAATTTTTGTTTACTAAAAAATAGATTATATCGGCTATGTCGACCGGTGAGAAACTAATAGGTAGTATGAACGATGTTCGGCCGGGTGGAACAGTCTAGTTTTAATTCTGCACGCAGGAAAAAAAATTGATATTGCGACATAGGTGCATGTGCTTCGAGTTCAAGCAAATGTACACAACTGGTAAGACAAATCTAATGCCAAATAGCATGCCGTTGAACAGAATACAAGCGATCCGACATCAGCTGACGTAGTGGCCAGTACCACCTCCTATAAAAGAGCAATACTAGACGATACTACGGGTTATTCTTGTACTATGCAAATGCATAGAGAAGTCATCCGCTTTTAGAAATTTTAACTTCATAAAAGGTATCAATGTGAAATGGCGTAAACGTCTACATAAGAACCAGGAAGATAAAGACAAACTCTTTCCTCATGCCGATAAGATTGCAAAGCATTCATATCCAGGGTTTGAGTTCTGGTCTTCTTTTCACACAGATAAACTTTCAAAGTCCATGACGCGTAAGCATGCACACCAACAAACGAGTGGAACCGAAAATGTAAGCATGCACACCAACAAACGAGTGGAACCGAAAATGCCATGCGAGCAAAGGTATACTCTCAAAAATAAGAAGTATCTACATACATACATTTCAAAAGTATACAAGTATTCGCATACCTTACTATTTTATGTTTTAACCCGCATCCTGCTTTTTTCTCTCACCCATCTATCACAATAGTATTCAGGATATATGGAATGTCAATATACAATAACACGTCACGCTGTCATACACATATTCTGTATATGTCACGGCGGCCATGCAACTTACCCGGGGGGGTTTTTTTGCCCGATACTGGCGAGTATAAATACAAGGTGAACCAGTTCACAGTCATAGTCTTCATATGCGGCAGCACACATGTAAAAGCATCTTTAGAAAAACTATACATCTTATATATTGGGCCATGGTTTATTGATCTACGCTATAAAAGGTCTATTTTCGAGTTGCTAGTATTCTTCATTGTCCCGCACAAGGTTTTGTTTAAATCAGGTTGTTGCATATCACTTTGTCGATTTGTGCAAGTACGACGACAGCAGATTTTACAGTTCCTGTTGGAGAATTCAGCTATTTTAGCATAAAGCCCTTAAATATGGAAAGACTTTAAAATAGCGGATTCTTATTAGTAGAGGCACATGTTTACGAAAATCGGAAAATCTGAAATATGTAAAACTTGAAGGTAAATATTTACAATAATCAAAACAAAACATTTTTTGGACATTTGATAATGCAATAGTAGATTTTAGAGGACGGAGACTATAGTAACAATTTGGTACATAGTTCCCGATAGTAGAAGCACATATTTAACGTGTTTTTATATTTCTGGAATATTTAAAATCGTAAATGTAGATGTTTGGAGAAATCATAACAGTCCAATTTAGGACTTTTAGTAGTAGAGTATGGAGACTCTATGGTGAAATTCGGTGGTATTTCTTTGAATAATAGCTTATAACCCAACATCGAAAGGGTCTCAGTTGAAATCTGACACCAAATTGACACCCGATATATTTTTGAATACTCTCAGTGTAAAACCTGTGGAATAAGACATACTTTTGACTCTTCCTAGTTAGCCAACTAGATGTGTCCGCCCATGTCTTAAATGGGATGGAGAGCTAGGTACCAAGTGATGGAGTTCAGATGCAATGGACATACTGTACCAGCTTTGTGTTTCGATTTTGATTTGATTTTCTTAATTTGGACTTGGATTTTTTATCGACAAGTAGAATTGGAGTATTGTTTCGAAGCATTAAGTGATTAATGAATTTTGGTTTTTGACACCAAATAAAGCTAGACCTACGTAGTGAGTGGTTAGAGTAGAACTGCAAAGACAATAAGGATAATATTATTTATTTCAAAAATGGCAAGTATGTATGATACAATGTATGAACATATGGTATGGCTCTCATAGTCGCTGTAGTGGTTCAGGGTCAGTCTTAAATCCCCTAATTTTTAGCTTATTACTGAAGGCTGACGCTAAATTTAATTCACTTTTGCAATTAACGGGCTGCTGGGGTGTGTGGGCATGTTCGTTGGTGTGATGGTCCGTTGGAGTTAGGCTAGAGTGCTCCCCTGAATCGAGATGCATTGCTTGGGAACTCTTCTGAGGCTGTATCCGAAATGTCAGCTGGGGAGCTGACACCAGATCCGGATCGGAGTAGATATTATGTGATGTGGGGGTTGCGCTGAAGCTCGATCGTTGGTGTAAGAACTGTGGCAGTAGTGGGAGCGGTATGTGGGGAAGGGTAGGCGGTCGTGTTACAGTGAGTGCAAGGTGAGTTCGCGGATCGTCGGTATGTCATCCTGTAATGTCGTGATGCGTGGCAATGGTGTGTTGCCTTAGGACCAAGTGAGGAAACAGCATCCATTGAATTTGACGTCGCGAGATTGGCATATACGGCCAGATTTGATGTTCAGGATCCCACACTCGTCGTAATATTTGGAGACTGTGCCATGACCCAAGTGTACCCCTAGTGTGGCTCTATAGTCCAGCTTGTTTTCAGGATCTTGGTTGAAAAAAGCGACCTGACAGCTGCAGACATACATGTGTTTCAGGCGGGAGTCACGTTTGCTCCCGTAGTAGACTTCCCAAGCAGACTTGCTATCAAATTTGCGGTTGTTGCAGCCAATATTTTACGTTAAAGTGACGTGGCGTAACGTTTATGGCCACATGTCGTCAGGTTAGTAGGCGTGTAGTGAACTTTGACGCGCTCCACCGTAATGATAGCCTGAAGTGCTTTGGAAACGAATTTTCCTTCTCGATCGCATTTTAACTTCTCGAGTTTGGCGCGTTTTTCTTTCCCGAGTGTAGTATAGAACATTTGGACTTTTATAAGAGAAAATCATAAGAGAAAATCATGGTGCTGTTAGCATCAACGTACTTGATGTTGGATGGACAGCCCGTGGCCGAAGATGTCAGCCCGGTCTCAAGATCTACATGGAACACAGTACCGGGTGATGGGCAGGTATCAGAATCCTTAAGTTTGTTTGAGATAGGCCGACGGCGCATCTTGCAAAATACACAAGCGGTGCAAAAGCATTGACTTACCCCCATCCTCGCTTCTCGACCAGATTATGACGGATAAGATCCGTACCACAGAGGTGGGTACTCTACTTAGTAGGTCAGCAAGCGAATATTTGAAACATTTGATAGTAACAGTGTTTTGTCAACACAGGCCCGAATTGACTCAGCACATATCTTCCATTGTCGACTCACTTGGCCCAAGCTTCAAACGGGAATTTACTGACCACTTCTTCCCATCAATCTTTCCTGAACCACTACAGCGACTATGAGAGCCATACAATATGTTCATACATTGTAAAATAAATAATATTATATCTAATCAGTTAGGTGGGTGACGACGTCATCATGGGCAGTGAGAAGGGTTGTTGTGGAAGGTACGGCGTGTTTAAAATTGCCTAAACGAGCAACACAGATGTATCGCCATTTAGGCCGGTACGACTTGTTGGTGGGGGCTAAGGGGAAGACGACCGTGACCCGGCCGTTTTCCATGTCTAACTTGTAGAGGGTGTAAGATTAGGTCTAATAAAGG